AAAAAAAAAAAAAAAAAAAAAAAAAGAAGGAAAGCTAGATCTACCAGATCTCACAGAAACTAAAAGTTTATTTAAGGCCATGGAGTTGTGTCACACCATAATTTTTATGTTTGATCAAATTGTGTTTTATTTGTGCTCTCAAAAAATTGCAGTTGAAAATATTTTTTTTCCACCGGGCCTGACTATCTAAGATGATCGCTAGAAAACTATGATCTGACTTTAAAAAAAAAAAAAAATCAATAGCGATCAGCTCACCACTATTTTTTAAACATCAACTTCATAATTGCTTCTTTAAACAACTGTAGTTGCCCCAAATAGACAATAATAAGATTTTTTTTCTAGTTCTCTTATGTTTATTTAGTCTCATATCAATGAGAAATTTCTTACAGACTTAACAACAAGTCTTTAAATGCATGAAGAGGAATCACTTGTTTGTCCTCTAGCCTTTTTGTTAGTTTTGGTAAAGCTCAAATTCATGTTGATGTTGTGGTAACTTTGAAATTTAAAACGATCGACGACGAAGTGAAAAATAAAAATGACACAAGAAAAAATCACACCAGAAAAGAACACACAGATTTACGTGGTTCGGCAAATTGCCTACATCCACGGAGTTGCAGAGGATTTTACTAATTGAGGAATTTACACCGTTTGATCACAACGATAATTACAGGAGAAAGTCTCTCACTTTCTCACTCTCTCTTCTTCTCTCTACACCGAGATACACCGAAGAGCACACCTTGCGATTCTACTGTAGATATATCGCACGCAAGCTTCAACCCGATCACCAAGAAGCAACAATAAAGGGAGCTTTTCTTTCTTGCGTCTCACAGAAGACCGAAAAAAAAACAAATCGCAAAAAACTGCTGCTACCTGATTTGTATCCTTCGGCCCGTAAATTTTCTTCCCTGTGCTTTGCGATACTTCCTTCACCAGCAAACCAACGCAGAACAGAAGAAGACAGAGGGAGAGCCGAACTTTGCTTTTCTTCACACTTGAAGTTCTATCATGGAAGCCAAGAATATTTAATTCCAGTATATAGTACGTGAAGAAGAAAACCACGTAAGAATAACCACCTGCAAGTTGCACTTTTTATCAAATGTAATTTTCTCCTTCTTTAATGGTGGCGGGACCCACTTTCCATAAGAAAAAGCAAATAGGCGGGAGTAGTTACAAGTTACAGAAGTGGCAACAAGCATATATATATATTTTATATTCTAATCGGGCTCCACACTCAACATGACACACTCAATATTTTATTTAAGATGGTGTTTATGCTAAGCTTTTTAATTTTTCTCTGCAAAGAAATGACTTAATGTAAACTTTTGTCTTAAGTAACAATGCCTAATATTTTTAAGTTGTTTCATTAACAGTATTTTGGATTTTTTACTATAATTCTTACTTGCCTTACTTTTGTTATTATAAAGGAAAGGGAAGTCAACATTAAGTGATGCGTTAGAGAGATTAGGATTGTGATAAGGCTCCAAGATTTTATCATCATATTGAGAATGTAAGTAATAGTCATCAATTAAATGAAACTTTCTAAAATTTTGGTGCGCTTTCTGCGTTAATCTTCTTTATGTTTATATTCTATAAATGAATTGAATTAAGTCTTGCCTAATTCTCAATAGTTTGCATACGTGGCATGCTTCCAAACATTCTCAAAATTTAAAGTACATTCTAAACTAACATATCAATCCAAATAATGCTAGAATTACCCTCATTATTCAACATTGAATAAAACTCTCAGTATTAAGCCTAGCTGCACTAGCAATAAGTAGGAGCATATAAAGTGACCACATATTGATATTGTATTTTATAGCTACTTAAACAGCTTTAAAGAAAAGAATAAACAGGTTAATAAAACAACTATAATTAAATTTTAAGTGGAAAAAAATCAAACCTCATCGTCATCATCATCATCTTTACCCTTCTTCAAACGAGTTGTTCCACCCTCCTTGCTAATTGGCAACTTCATTGGTCCGAATGGAGTATCCACATCAATATTACCTTTTATTGAATATCCACTACCTCTTCTCCTCATCAAGTCCCAAACAGCAGAACCCAAATCCTTAGGCCGAAAAGTCATCGGAATCTGAATCCGGCTAACTCCATTTTTTGCAATTTTTACAGATTTGTAGAGCTCAGCACTTCCAATACTCACATCAGAGAGCCAAATCTCATAATCCAACTTATTGAGTGCTAATTCAAAGTCATTCTTGTTCTCTATTTTCAGGTGCAAGGTTGCAACAGTTTCTTCAAAGGAGAACTTCCCAAAGCGAATCTTTTCAAGGTCAACATCAGGTTTATAAGGCACAGGAATTTCACCTTGCTTCTCCAGAGGCAGAGTTAGCCTTCCAAAAATAGGCACATCCACAAGGAGAGCAACCTTCACTCTATAAGGTATAATGCTTCCTGGTTTAATATCATCATAAGTACTCTTAATATCATGAAATATCAATGTCAATGGTATCTTTATGGTCTCTGAGCCATGAGAATGGATTGTTCCTGCGTCTGGAATCAGCCCTGATACAAGCTTTCTACCATCACTTTCGATCAAGTAGTCAATATCGACGAGAGGAATTGGTATAGGATTGGGGTTCGAAACTAACACATCCACAACAAGCTCTGCCTTCTGCAAATTGATTGAAGGAAGGTGGACTGCCTTCAGATCTGCTGTTGGCTTTCCAAACTTCACCGCACCTTCAATCTTTTCTCCAATGTCATGGATAAAATCCTTGATCTTATCCAGGAAGCCCCCCTTCTCCTCATTTTTCTCTTCATCTTTGTGCCCCCTTTCCTTGATTTCTCTTTCAACTTTGATGTTGTCAGAAGATGCCATAACTAAGCAATCATGCTCTCACAATGAGAAATTTATAGAACTCCGGATCAAAATTTGATTTATTTCATAAATTTTAATATATATATATATATATATATATATATATATAATTGATACACATCTTTCTATTTGAACATGAAAATCATAAATTAATTTAAGATTCATAAACATCTTCGACATCATAGAACAATATCTACTATTTAAATGAGCATTTTAACAACTCTAGATCAAAATTCAGCCAAGCCAAAATATATATTACTGAAAAAACTAAACATCCATCACAGGATTAGATACACAAAATTACTCGTAGTTGCTACAGATATAGATGAAACAGAAACTACAAAAGTCAAAAGCCAACAAAGGAACATTGATCCAATCACACAAACAATCAAATATCAGACACGAAGTGTATGAAGTCAATAACTAAAAACTACTGGATCATAGCAAAATGCCCGGTTTCATCTTTAAACAAAACATAAATTATTCTCGTAGAGCTCAATCTGGAACAAATCGATCATTTGAGAAAAGCAAGAACGAGAAACCCGAATCTCAAACGAAAACAATCTACACCATCGTGTCATTGATTAACGTAAGAATAATGTCCATTGAATTAGCAGTTTTGCCCCAAAAAAATCAAATAAATGGATTATAGGGTTAGCATTAGCACAATGGAGTGATCGCATGGTAGAAAATAGAAAAAAAAAAACTAGAGATTACCGGATGGGAAGTAGAGAGCCGAGGAGGATTTCGCCGGGAATGGCAGAGGTCGTTGGTGGCATGGCAACTCGTCTATAATGACAATGGCCGTTTGATGTAGGGATGTGGTCACCTTCCAATAAGCTTAATAAAGTGGGCTGCAAAGTGAGTGAAATTGGGCTAAACTGAGGCATCTCAAACATTTCAATGCAGAAAAGAACCGTTTAGAAAGGAAGCAGCCGAAATCGATTTATTAACTAGTCAAGAGAACATATCTTAATTTGAACAAATGAATTTAATTTTTCTCGAACATGAATAGACTTTTAACGAGCTATTTCAAACACAAGCAAAACAAAATTGAACGAGTTTAACATAAACAAATCTTGCGGCTCACTCAAGTTCAGCCCGTCTGATTACTCACGAAGGGAGAGGTGAACATACTAGCGGTGAGTATGTCACTCAACTAGACAATTGTCAATTATGAATTAATTACTAAATAAAATACTAAGTCATGCTTATGCATTGGTCTTGAGGTTCAAATTAGACATGTATTTGAATTCATGAAGGCGGCTCCTTGCCAAATGAATGGCAACAAGAGGGCATACTGGTGCTATTCTCCCACTTGTAGACTATGTTATTATTTATAAATAAATGTAATATTAATTTAATTTTTGAAAAAAAAAATTGCATTATATTTATATAAATAGTATATGCTAAAATATTCACGTTGATACAAAAGAGTTTATCATCTTAATATTAAATGAAGTAGTAGCACCTAAAGATATATGTTAAGAGCATCTCATAGAAAAAGGTTTTGAATTGAATGATAAACGGGGGCGGAATAAGCATTAATTTTGAGGAGTAAAACAACTAAATATCTAATTTTTTAAAAGTATAATATTAAAACTTTCTATTTATATAGATAAATTACAAATTTCATTAGGGCCATCCCTTTAGACAAAATTTGGTTCTACCCTTGCTAAGATATTATTATTGACACTCTTCGCATTTGAGTGCATATACTCCAAATTATAGTAGATTTTTGTTGGTACTAGGGCAATTTAGAATGAGAGAAAAGGAGTAAAAATGAGATATGGTTTGAGATTTTGGAAAGGCTTGTTAAAATTGTCATTCTAAATAAATTAGTTTGACATTTAAGAAGCTTTGAAAAGTGGCGCAAACTATTAGGGTGTGTTTGTTTCAGCTGGGACTGTAAAAAAACTCTGTTAAGAAGCAGTTGTTGAAAATATGCTATTCAAAGCAGCTGATTTGTTTGAAAAATATAGTTCTGAAAGTGTTCACAGTTGACAATTGACCATAATACCCTTCATTATAAACACAGTTTTGTTTGAAAAACACAATTTTGTTTGGAAAACGCAGTTTTGAAAATGTTATCTGTGGAATAAACTCAATGACAATTTATCAAATTATTTTCAGTCGCCATAATAGAATTTAAAGTTAACATTAATTGAACATTATGTCTTCAAAATAATCATACAAATATAAATTCAATATAGGCTGCATCCCGACCAAACATGCAGTTTCCTTAAACAAAAAATATAAAGAAGTAAAGCTTGTCCTCCAAAATACACAACATCACCAAAATAAGTACAATATTAACAACAATAGCATGTGTTACGATTACAAAATCCAACAAGAGCAATGTTTTTATAAGAAATTTCAATTCTTTAAGATTGATTTTTACTGTATCTTTATAGGCATTGATATTTTCATCACCTCGCTCTGTTATTGCATCGCTCCGTTCATCCACCCACTGAAAAAATTTGCCTTCTTTGATTGTTAAAATTTTTTGGCAACTGTAAAATTTTTATACTGTATTGTCACATTTCTAAGTCATGAAAATAGTACATAATAGATTGCAATCACAAAAAACTGGTTGTGAGCTAGGTGTCTTGCAATCTGGCCATAAGGTACCCGAGCACCAGGCCGCTCGGCACAAAAATATGCGAACAAACCAAGATGAAATCACAATAGATGGGCCAAAAAACACAAATAAGGGCTGCTCTTATAACAATCAAAGGAAAATCAAGCAAGATACAAAAGATTGTCTATTTTTTAGAGGTAGATCAGGCCGCTTGTGAGCCAGTTGTGTTGCAATCGGTTGGTCCCTCCTGGACCGACCCGTCTATGGGCGTAACACTACTCCCCTCCCAAAAAAGTACCTTGTCTTCAACGTGGAAAGATGGAAACTGTTTGTGGATCACTTAGTAAGGCTCTCACATTGCTTCATAGTCTAGTAGTCATTTCTACTTAACCAATACCTCCTTCGCTCTCTTTACTCCTCAACGCACTCCCTCGATATCTAATGGTTTCAAAATCACTCAAAGTCCTCTGTCAGCGTTGGCGGTATCGATGAGGGTGTGTGATTTCCAATCGCTTGTCTCAGTCGGGATAAATGGAAGGCCAGGTGTAGTGTAAATGATGGTGGTAACTTCAAACGGTAAGCTATTGCCCCGATGCATGTCATCACCTTATAAGGCCCAAACTATCTCGGTGAAAGTTTCTTGCTCTTCCTTCTGGCCAATGTCTTCTATCGGTAGGGCCTCAGCTTCAAGTAGATCATGTCCCCTGGTTCAAATTGCACCTCTCTTTTGTGTCCATCAGCTTTCCTCTTCATGATTTGTTGAGCCCTCAACAAATATTTATCTTCCCCGTCTGCTTTGCTCGAGGCTAAAATCCTAGCCATACATTCACGACTAGAGCTTGGGATTGCGACTTACAAAGACATCACATCTTCCTCCTCCTCCAGCTTCACTCCTACCATAAACCATTGAGGAAGGTATCCCTCATTTTTTGTTATCTTCCTTCCACCCCCTTTCGCACACTTCAGCTCTTCTAAATCCTGTAAACCCGTCTTCCAGTTGGATTTAATAAATCCAGGACTAAAAGGCGAAGGAGTTAGGGCTGACGAAGGGCGTCAAAAGTAAAAACACGAAGGAGAAAAAGCGGGCCACGGGGACGAATCTGCAGCCCGCGTTTTACCCAAACTGCGCCGTTTTGTGATCCTCCCGATGCCCCAAACGATCAAAATGAGTGGCACTTCACCGCGCCACTGCCCCAAACGGGGCCTAAATCATGACCTGAATGTTTTCCTTTTAATTATTATTTTTTATATTTTTAGTATTTGAACCTAATTTATATAAAAAAAAATTAGTGAAAAAAGTTAACAGTACAAAAAAAATTTACAAATATATCACTTCATTTTACTGTTTATTTATATATTTAACGCTCATGTAGAATAATTATTAACGCGTCATTCAAAAAATCATCCAAACAGATATTAATCTTGAAGCAGTTTTTAAATTGGAATATTTTGAAGGTTTCAATTTGTGATCATCCCATTCAACAATTTCAAAAAACTTACGATTGAACTAAATATTTCTAACAAGGTAAACCTAACCATGCCAAAAGTGGTTCAATCTGAATCCAATACAAACACCTAATGATTAATTTTCCACTATTGGGACAAATAATGTGCCCTTTTATGTGATTATGATAACTAATGAAGACACAAAGAGTAAACTAAGGTTGCAATATTTTTTAGATGGGAAGGATCCATGGGTAGCGAGCAGGTCCAAAAACACGAAGATGTGAATAACCCGTGCTAGTGTTATGCATCATTTGATGGAGTGATTTATTATGAGTTCAGGTGGAGGGCAAACGATTTATTGAGTATATAGCAGTGAGAGTAGTATCCAAGCAGAAGGAGGGAGGGAGGTCTGAATCAACAAGAAGGGCATGGGTGGTATCAAGAATATGCATATGCTTACATTCAACAATACCATTCTATTAAGCAGTACAGGGGCAGAAGGTTTGATAAATAATGCCATGAGTGTTAAGATATTATGTAAAGAGATGATTCTTGAACTCACCGCCACCATCTATTCATAGTATTTTTATATGAGAATTGAATTGTAGTTCAACACTTTGTCTGAATTTGATAAAATATGAAAAAACTTTAGTTTTATATGCCATCGGGTATAGACAAGAATAATGGGATTAATCATCAGTAAAAAGCAAATATTATTTAGATCCTTGAAATGAAAATTGAGGGGAGTGACCCCTAACATAGAACGAACTAATTCCAAAGGTTTATAAGCGTGATTATTTGAAAGTAAAAAATGGAAAATAATGGTCCTTAGGAGTAACACAAGAATTACAAAAAAAGATTTTGCTAGAAAGTTAAAGATGCAGTTGTTAGTGAGAAATAGCAGCCAAGGAATGAGAGTTTGCATGACCCAATAGTTTATGCCAAAGGTCTGAATGGAAGGCGTCAAGAAGAGTGACCTGAAGAAGTTTCAGAGTAGATTCTATTCTTACATGGCCTTTGCAATATGATGTATTGAGTATAACAATCATTGATGTAGTAACCGTGAGAGTTGAAATTAATGAAATAGTGGTTATTTGTTGCTAGCTGAGAAATAGAAAGAAGGTTGTGTGAAATATGAATAGTATGAAATATTTTTGAAAGAGAGCTTATGATTGGGGATGGAAAAAAGTTTTTCCCGGAATTATGTATGGTAACAGATTCACCATTACCAGCCAGCACTTGATAAATACCGTTGTATAATGTAGAGTGTTGTAGTTTATCGAGACTAGTAGTGAGGTGTGTTGTAGCTCCTGAGTCAAGGTACCAATCAACATCGAAAGTAATGGAAGTAAGGTTGTATTCTCCTATAATTTTGGGGGTTGATAACTCAAATGGGATCTATGCCAGCAGTTGGTAGCAAGATCCCTCTTCTTATTGATGACATATTTGAAAGGTAGAAGCTGGTTTTAGTTTGATTTGGAAGTTGAATGGTGTGGCTTGATCATTGAACTGCTTGTTGTATGATTGATTGTTACGACTCCTTGGTCGAGAAGTAATTTTTCTGCGACCTCCGACAGTTTGAAGAGCAAGTTGTTTTTCGGTGAATTCTTGAACAAAATGAGTGGATATATTGATCACCTTACTATCAAATAACGAGCACAACTCTTCTAAACTAATGTGAGACAGATTCATTCTGATTGAGGTTTTCAGGGCTTGATAGGTAGGGAGAAAGCCCTTAAGGAAGTAGAGAATAATATGTTATTGATTAACTGCAGAGTTTGCCTCAGAGACGCATGTTATCAACAATGGTCTTGATC